TGTCCTATTGTGATTTTTTGTAAAAAATTAAAAGTTACGAGTTTACAGTAGGTGGATGCACGAATCCTGACCTAAAAGTCCTGAGCTCTGATCCCAGGCTCAAATTCGAGAACACCCAACTCAGATGGGTACCAATCTCATATATTTAAAACTACTAAAGGAGGCTAATCATACATCTAGAGCTGATCAGAATGCCTCCTCATATGCTTAAAGCAACTAAATATGTGAACTCTACCTATATTCCATATGATCACCAGGCCCGAATGGGCAACTAAGAAATGCATCTAGGGAGTTTTGATAAAAAATAACTAGATCTAGATATTCTGTACATAAACAAATGACTATCGGAAACCTAACTTCTAAAACAAAAATGTGAAGCACCTTTCATACCTTTCTTAGAAGTATAGCGGGAAAGTAAAGTAACGTTTTTACTTTCTCGTATAAATAGTATAAGTAATCGTGCAAAAAAAAAAAATTCGAGATTTTTGCAAATCTCAACGTTTTACACTTCCATGAGTCGGAAAAAAACTTAGTTTTGCAATCTTGTCCGTATGTATGTGTGTGTGTATGTGTGTCTCTCTGTGTATGAGTGTGTGTTTGTAAACACGATAACTTGAGTACTGTTACAGCTAGGTTGATGAAATTTCATAAATAAGTATTATATCAAAATCGTAGATCCGTATCAACTTGTGAGCTATTTCCGATAACCGGAAGTGGAACTTTTTCTACTTTCAATTTTTCAAAAGTTATAAATTGAATACTATTTCAGATAGATAAATGAAATTTCACATGTAAGAAAAAAAGATCTAAATTTTTGCCTTCTGTCAAATTTTGAGTAATTTTGTTGACCGGGAGTAGTAATTTTCGCTATTTCGGCTTTCTCAAAAAAAAAAAAAAAAAAACGCATGTAATTTTATAAAGTACTAATGATATTTCGCACTATTATGCACATTGTATTAGGCGATCACTTGGTGTGCAATTCTTTTTTCTACGAGATTCTATTCTATTTTAAAAAGTTTTAGTAATTAAAAATGGATTAAAATCATGTCTATATCCCGAGTTGCCATCCCCCGTAGTGTTATATAAGAATATTCGAGACAGTTTAGGGAAGATCACTCCTGGTTTATTTAACTCTAAAATCAACCCATTTTATTGTCAGGACTATTTATTTTAGGGATAGTCGGCTTTACAATATCTGGGTGGTGTCGGGTTCATCTAATGTCGAGGGGTATAAGTATATATATATATATATATATATATATATATATATATATATATATATATATATATATATATATATATATAATCAATCAGTGATTTCCCTTGAGTGTGTTGTTGATGTGAGTTAGCTTTGAATGAGTCTTGAGTGAAGTTGACCGTCGGAGCTGAACTGTATATGTTTAATAAGTGTTGAAGTTAACTAGATGGCGTCTGTTTGATGGCGTGGACTGTTATACTCCCTTATATTGTTATAAGTGTTAGGAAATGTTAGTAATGGAACAGACATTTGTAGGGGAAAACGACGGCCTCCACCAATAACTAGTTCAGCCTCTGACTTCCGCTTCCAGGTGTCCCACCTATAACGTGTCAAGCCTCCCGTCTTTCTGTCACCTGGAGAAGGAGCCAGGCTCTTGCTGCCAGGAACCTAAGTGTGAGCTGCAGACGTCCACGGCCATCATCCACGGCTTTGGAACTGTTTCAGACCACGCTGGGTGTAAGTCAGTCCAGTTTGTTAGTTTTTTGTGGGTTAGGGTTCAAGTCTTTTCTTAATATGGATCTAAATCCTTTCATTCAGTATAAGAAATACAATTTCAACGCAATGTATTGTAGATCATTTTCAATTTGCTCAAAAGCAAATCTAATCAGAAAAGCTGGTTAATGTCCGTGAACATAGTATTAGCCCCATAGAAAAGAGGTACATGCATTAGCACATCTATAGACCATCATTAGCACATCTTTAGACCATAATTAGCACATCTATAGACCATCATTAGCACATCTATAGACCATCATTAGCACATCTATAGACCATCATTAGCACATCTATAGACCATCATTAGCACATCTATAGACCATCATAAGCACACATTTCGATCATCAAACATACATACACATAAGCTTACTTGAAAGTTGTTTTTTTTCCAGACAAACAAATTTATGATGGCTCTGGGAATCCCGTAGCGGGCCCTAATGACCACTGCATACAAAATGGCAATCCATATGTGGAGGGCAACACGTGGCAGCCAGACTGTGAGCACGTATGCACGTGCGACACGCAGTACTACGGTTATTACAGGTGTTCTAGCAAGTAAGTTTACATGAAACAAGAATAGTTTTTAAAGATTTGATGTGCTTAAGCACACAGGTCTTGATTTACAACCTTAACCCTAAACTTAACCCTAACCTTAACCCTAACCCTAACCCTAACCTTAACCCTAACCTTAACCCTAACCATAACCAGAACCATAACCTTAACACTAACCTTAACCCTAACCTTAAC